CGAGACAGGAAATATTACATTGCTTGTTCATTTAAATGCTGAATTATGTGCCCGATTTCTGACAGCACTATTGATGGAGTAAGATAATTACCCCTGGAGGCAGCAGGGAATTTAAAAAAAAAAAAAAAAACAACAGTACTGGGCCTCTTCGCTAAGGCCTTTGTGTCTGTCGGAGAAACCTTAAAAAAGAAAGAAAGAAAAATCCATACACAGGTCCATTAATTAGAGCAGCTTTAAGTATCCTTTTCTCTCCAGTTATGGTGCTACACGACCTGTCTATCAGCTGTCAGGCAAAGTGACATTCTCCCGTCAAGAAGATGGGAGGAAACTCAGTACAAAGAAGAAATAAATTTGGTATCAGAAGACTGAAGTTTAATTAGGTTGGGCAGCCAACCTTATAGAGTTCTGGCGTCTTAAAAGGTGCATTATTACTGCTGGTCCCTCTGGGGTTGCAAACGATGGTTAGCATCCCATGAAGTTGATTCATGACTCAGAAGTAAATTATTAATCACTTAATTTCAGCTACATTGAATACTCCTCCCAGTTCGTACAGCCTCGGGGAAACTAACTTTTCATTCCTGGGCATGACAGAGAAACAAAATGGAAATGACCAGTTATGGGGAAGATGAATGTAAATTCTGAACAAATTACATTTGATGTGAAAAGTAATATCTTCAGTGATTTGCCATTTTAGTATAGTTGAGGCATAATGTAAAAAGAAACCGTCTCAAATGGTGCACATTCCAAAGTGGTGTGTTAGGGGGTCTAAACCTACAAATCCTGAGTACTTAAATATTTCTGTGATTCTAAAAATGTTACTTAAATCTGAGTAATCATTGAATAATGGATAAGCCTAAGAAAGAAATTTATAAATGCCTATCAGTGAAGAAATGGATAACTGCCATTCATGTAGTGTTATGAAACAGTTGAAAAGAAGGCAGTGGGTCTATCTACACAACAGGATAAATAAAAAAATCACAAAGTAAGGTGATGAGTCTACACTGTGCATACAGGGTGACCATAATGCTCACATTAGTTTAAATTGCTCTTGAACTTTGATAGCCCCCCTGCATATCAAATATGGTACATATATATTAACATATACACACACATACGTATAGTAAAAAACACACGATTAAAAGATACAAAAAGTATTTTAAATATGTTTTAAAATTATTTTCATATATTTAAAATTACTTTAACATATTAAGATATATTTTAAATAATTTATGTATTTGATGGGCATGGTATATACATATTTCTTTTTATATATATGTATATACTATATTTATTTATATATATGGAGAGAAAAAAAAATCACTGACATTGAGAATTTAGAGGACCAGAAGTGGACAGAAAGGGTTTAGCTATATCTTTTATTTTAGTAATTACTGAAAGCAAATATACTAAAA